TTCTGAAAAACCGTCCCCAGGTAGGAGTAGATGGATAGAATGACATGAGATAGTACCAGGAGTGCCCCGGCTTCCAGGGCCATCTATTTGGATTTCTTTTGGATGGATTCCAAGATGAGACTTCCGATCGGATCATCCCATTCTGCTGTTTGAAGCTGCTTTTGTGTATGTTTGTTTTGTTTTATTTGGCTTTGGGGCCAACCCAGTGGTGCATGAGGAGTACTCAAAGCTCAGTGCTCAATGCTCATTCCTGACAGGTCTAGGTCACCAATGGGATGCTGGAGGTCCAAAGGTTTCATCTTGGGTTTTCTGTTTTATTTGGGGTAGCAGAGCAAGAATTTTTTGCAATCATTCCTTGTGCTGCACTCTGGCATTGCCCCTGGCAGTGCTTGTGGGACCATATGAGATGTTGAGGATCGCCAGTCCTACATGCTCTCCCCGGAACAGCTGTCCTGTTATGCCAACCTGCTGCTTTGGTTTCTTTTGCATTGTTTTTGCCATAAGCTGTCCTCTTGACTCTGTGCTCTGGATTCACAACTGACTGGCCTCAGAGCACCCTGGGGTGTGCTGGCCCTGTTTGCGCCCTGGAAACTACAGTGACTTGGGCCCCCAGACTTGCTTTTCTCTTGTTTTGTCCTTCCGACTTTGGAGAGACTACCTGCTCAGTCATATAGTCTTACATTCACATAATTTTTTGTGTGGATTTCTGGGCATGCGCCGATCCCAAGGAGAAAGAGCCAAGGATCTCTGAGGCCAGCAGAGATGTTGGGGTCCAGAAACTTCTACCTTCTTTGAGCGGGATTTGGGGCAGTCCTGAGCAGTGAGTTCCTACAGGCACACATGCCATGCACTGCTCTGAGTAGTTGTCTATATGGACTGTCGAGTTCTCAATCCTAGTGGTCATGTGCTGTGGGAGTGCAGCGGTGAGCGTGCAGTGGTTTTTGCTACACCCAGGGATAGTCTTTTGGATCGTACAAGTCTGTGTTCAGGTGATCCTCTCTACAGTGCTCACTGGACCAGTGGTGCACAAATTGGTCCTGGGATTACCAGGAAAGGCAGATACATCCAAGAACCTTCTGTATAACGTCCTCCCACTTTAGCAGAACTAGCTGACTTATGTGATTTCTGGGACCCGTCAGTCATGCGTGTGTATGGAGGCTGTTCATTCGGAGGGGAGAGGACAAGCGACAATATAGGACCCTGGGACCTGGCCTCAGAGTAGTGGGAATGAGGCTAAGATAGACTCTGACTCCCACCCTTCCTGTGTGCTGACTCAGGACGCAGTGACCTTCCATGACGTGGCTGTGAACTTCACCCCGGAGGAATGGTCATACCTGGCGACCTCTCAGCAGAAGCTCTACAGGGACGTGTTGCTGGAGACCTACCAGCATCTGCAGGCTGTCGGTGAGAACAGTGTGGAGCCAACTTTGTATGAAAAGACCCACGTGTGCTCCCTGGGGTTGGGCGGCAGCTGTGTGTCCAACAGTAGCTCTGTGACAGGTTGGGATGTTGGACAGTCGTGCAGTAGCTGTTCCCTCCCTGGTTTATTTTTAGGGTTCACCTATATATACTCAGGGCTTCCTCTCATCTTTGTCCTCAGAAATCATTCTTGTGGGGTAGCGGTACTCTATGGGGTGATTCAGATCAACCCGTTTCAACTGTGCCCATGGGAAGATCCCTATCTGCCCAGTTATCGCCCAGGTCCCTTTAAATAGTTCCATCCATTGGTGAATCAATTTACTTTGTGTACTACACGAATTTTTGTGTGTTTAATTGGTTTTGCTGTTGCCTTTGTTTGTGAGGCACAGTCCACAATTCTCCTGGCTCTGTGCTAACGGATGACTCCTAAGAGTGCTCAGGGGCCATGGGGTACCGTGGACTTGGCAACTTAAAATGTTGGTGCCTCACCACAGGATTTGCTATCTCGTCTCTCAACTCATTACTCGCTGCCCTATTTCAGTACTTGGATTTACTTCTAATGGTTCTTGTGAGACTTCCGCAGGACTTAGGATTTGCTCCTGTACTCTGCACTCAGGAATCACTCCTGGCTGGCATGAGGGACCCTAGATGATATCAGGTATTGCAACTGGATTGGCCGTGAGAAACTCCTGCAGTGCTCTCTTTCTGGATACATTTTTTAGCTTAAAAAAATAAGGGTCTCTTACCACCCTTGGCCATTTCCATATTTATTATGCACTTAGTTTTACTGAAATCCGTGATAAGTTCATGAGGTGGTCAGGAAACTCCATGTGCTGCTGGGCCTAGAAAGACAGTACAGGTTGGAAAGTGATTTTCTTGCAAGCGGCACATGTGGGTAAAATCCCCGGCATCCCATATCATCCCCCAGCACCAGCAGCAGTAATTTCTGAATACAGAGTCAGGAATCACCTCTGATCATTGCCAGGTGAGACCCCAAACAAGACAAAAACCAACAACATACTGAGCTGATCAACCCCCCTGTCGGCCATACACAAGGCCATGTCTAGAGTATTTGTGGTATTTTCCTGGGTCTTACCTCTCGAATGACTAGAAATATGTGGCATTTTGGAAATGGACATTCTGTTTATGCCTTTCAGATATTTGCACAGTTATATCAGGAAAACATGGGTATTTACCTTTGACGTTTTCCCTGTCACTTATCCATGCCTCTGTCTCTGTCGGGGCAGGACACTCTGGGATGAAGCCTGCGGTGATCTCCTGGCTGGAAGGAGGAGCCCTGAGTTCGGGGAAGAGAGGCGTGTGTGCAGGTGAGTGTCTGAGGACCCTTCCTGGCTCAGGCCCTGTGCAGTGTATGGGTGCCCTGAGCATGTATGAAACACGTTGCTGAGACCGGGGCCTTGGTCTCCTGGATCCTTGGGTCTGTGCCGCACTCACGCTGCTCTTCATTCCTCTGGACTGTCAGTCACAGAATGATCCTATAATTTGCTTCCATGGCTTTTGAATAAGTAAGACCATAATAGTTTGGATGTGAATGATAGTACAGCAGGGAGTGCCTTGCAGTTCCTGACAGTGACCTGTTCAATAATTTGTTCAATAACCTGGTTCCCCAAACATTATTAGGTCTGCTCAAAAACAAAAACAAAACCTAGTGTAGAATTGCCAAGATACTCACAGTTTTCCACTCTCCGAATCTTTTCTTTAGTGTGGGACTCTTTGGACTTTAAAAACCACAGAGATGTACTCTTAACTACATGGCATCATTTTGCTACATTTTTTGACATGTTCTTGAATTGCATGTTTTGTTCAGTTTCAGAAATGAAACCACGACTTCAGGATTTGGCATTACAGCACTTTGATTTGGGAATGGGATCAGCAAGTACGAGTGAGTTGGTAAGATTAACTAATTCAGAATAAATATTATTATGCCAGCAGGAGTGGACCAACTATGTGATTGTTAAGGTGGAAGGCTGGGAGTGGCAGGGAGGAATTCCAAAGCCTGATTCTTGGAGTAGAGGACCCTTAGCTTCACTAGGTGCTGAAATCAACCATGTATAAAAATACTGTGAGTTTTAATTTTCTTGACAGTGGTAGTTGTATAAAAAGCCAATTTGTGGGCCCTGTAGATCGTTCAGTGAGAAATATACTTTCTTTGCACGCGTTATAGACACCATAGACCCACAGAGCTGATCCTAGACACTGCATGCTGTGCCCCTCCACCCAACCAACCCCCACTAAATAGAAACTACAAAACAGAAAGAACAAAAAACTTCATTGATCCTGAAAGCCATCACTTGTGGTGAGAGCTTTGCAATGGCAACGTGGTCTGTCTCAGCTGCGTGATGATGCAGCGTTGTCTTCACCCCTGCATCAAAGGTTCCACGCTAAACTTTAATCAAATCCACATGTAAATCTATTTCATTTTCTATTGAAATGGATGCATCTGTTTTCTATAGAAAGAATTATTCCAGTTGTATTCCTTCATTAATTTAAATGTGGGAAAGTCACAAAATTTACTGACTCTGCATCCATCAATTTTGTGTGTCCAACTTACAGTAACATGAAGTTATTCTATAGTAAGACAATTCATATATCAGTAATTGCATTTGTGTGGTGCATATGTGTGAAAGCACATCTGAAGGGCTCAGTTTTTTGACAGGAAGACTCAGTGAATAATTCAATAATTAGAATCCTCTGTTGTTCTACAGGAAAGCTGTCACCCCGAGTGGAATGTCTCTGATCCTGCACTGTATGATAATGTCTCGAGTGAGCAATCCTGCCCTCAGCCCCATGAGGACACCGAGACAGGCGGGATGTCTTCTGAGGGTGATCGGAATGGCGAGAGCTACCTCACTCTGAAGAAGCCCTCTCCTGGAAAAAGTTCCTTGGAGTGTGTTATTCTCAGTTCACAGGCACAACATTTCCCAGGGGGGCAGCTGCTAGGGAGAGGAGCACTGTTTATAGTGAGTCCCTTACAGCAACATACCCTCAACCAAATTCACCGTGAGCAGAACCCATCTAAGTGTAAGGAATGTTGGGGAGCCTCCCCATGTTCTCAGCACTGTGGTGTTCCCTTAGAAAACCACAGTGGACAGAATCCCCAGAAAAGTCAGCGCCGAGAACAAAGTGTGAGTCAAGGGTTACTTCATCATGACCATATGAAAATAAATTCAGGAGCGAAACCTTTTGCATATGAAGAATGTGGGAAGGCCTTCGATCAATCATCACATCTTATTATGCATAGGAGAATTCATACAGGAAAGAAACCTCATGAATGTCAGGCATGTGGAAAGGCCTTTATTCAGAACTCGAGTCTTAATAGACCTATGAAAACTCATAGTGGAGAGAAGCCTTCTATATGTCAGGAGTGTGATAATGCCTTTACTCGATCCTCAGGCCTCAGTATACATAGAAGTATTCACACTGGAGAGAAACCATATATATGTAAGGAATGTAGAAAGGCCTTTGCGAAAGCCTCAAGTCTTAGTGTACATAGGAGAATTCACACTGGAGAGAAACCGTATATATGTAAGGAATGTGGGAAGACCTTTGCTGTAGCCTCAAGTCTTAGTGTACATAGGAGAATTCACACTGGAGAGAAACCGTATATATGTAAGGAATGTGGAAAGGCCTTTGCTAGAGCCTCAAGACTTAATTTACATAGGAGAATTCACACTGGAGAGAAACCATATATATGTAAGGAATGTGGGAAGGCCTTTGCTGAATCATCAAGACTTAGTGTACATAGAAGAATTCACACTGGTGAGAAACCATATATATGTAACGAATGTGGAAAGGCCTTTGCCGCAGCTTCAGGACTTAGTGTACATAGGAAAATTCACACTGGAGTGAAACCGTATATATGTAAGGAATGTGGAAAGGCCTTTGCTGTTGCCTCAAACCTTAGTGCACATAGGAGAATTCACACTGGAGTGAAACCGTATATATGTAACGAATGTGGAAAGACCTTTGCTTTGGCCTCAAGACTTAGTGAACATAGGAAAATTCACACTGGAGAGAGACCATATATATGTAAGGAATGTGGGAAGGCCTTTGCTATAGCCTCAAAACTTACTGTGCATAGGAGAATTCACACTGGAGAGAAACCGTATATATGTAAGGAATGTGGGAAGTCCTTTGCAGAAGCCTCAAGCCTTAGTGTGCATAGGAGAATTCACACTGAAGAGAAACTGTATATATGTAAGGAATGTGGGAAGGCCTTTGCTACAGCCTCAAGACTTAGTCTACATAGGACAATTCACACTGGAGAGAAACCGTATATATGTAAGGAATGTGGGAAGGCCTTTGCTTTGGCATCAAGACTTAGTGTACATAGGAGAATTCACACTGGAGAGAAACCGTATATATGTAAGGAATGTGGGAAGGCCTTCACTGGAGCCTCTACACTTCGTGAACATAGGAAAATTCCACACTGGAGAGAAACTATATATATGTAAGGAATGTGGGAAGGCCTTTGCTGGAGCATCAAGACTTACTGCACATATGAAAATTCATCTCAGAGAGAACCCTCATCAGTGTCAGACCTGTGGGAAGGGATTCACATGGTTCTCTTCCCTTACTCTACAGATGGGAATTCATAATGGAGAGAAGCCTTAGATATATCTGGAGTGCGAAAAGGTCTTTAATTCATCCTCACAATTGACTGTACATAGGAGAATTCACAGTGGAGAGACACCGTATATATGTAAGGAATGTGGGAAGTCCTTTGCTGAAGCCTCAAGCCTTAATGTACATAGGAGAATTCACACTGGAGAGAAACTATATTTGTAAAGAATGTGCGAAGGCCTCTGTATGTCCTCAATACTTAATGTACATAGGAGAGTACACACAGGAGAGAAACCGTATACATATAAGAAGTGTGGAAAGGCCTTTTGAGAACCCTCAGATGTAGTGTACATAGGAGCATTCATGCCGGAAAAAAACCTTATATATGCGAGGAATATTGGAAGGCCTTCTGCCATTCTGAATCCTTGCTAAGTACAGGAATATTCACAGTGGAGGGAAACCTTATCCGTGCGAGACTTGTGGGAAGACCTTCATTTGGAGCTATCCAGAAATACAAAGACAAATCTCAAAACCCAGCGCCTTTTAGCAGAAATGCCTCTGGACCCTGCAGTAAGTTACTGTCCCCGGTAAACTCCATGGGGAATTGGTGCTGTTCCCCCAACGACTCCCACTTGGCGGCTCAGTGGCCTCAATCCTCCAAAGGCCTTTGGAAAGTTAGGTTTGGACCCACACTCATGAAGCTACGTGGGGCCTCTCAGGATGGGGTGGAGCCGGCCAATTCCTCCCCATCCCAACAAGAGCCTAAGCGATTTCCACGAACCGCCTCTCTGACTCATGATAAAGCTGTTTAATGGCCATAATCCCAGAGACTCAGGAACAAATCTCGGAACCCAGCAGGTTTTGGCAGAAATCCTTCCAGATTTAGTTGTTAAAATTTCAGAATTTCAAAATTATATGTTATTTATAACCAGCAATTGAAAAAGAATTGTCTACTGTTGCGTTTTCGCCAGACCTGAGTGCTGGGGTAAAAATCTCAAATAATAATGGTGGGTCTCGTGTCAAAATATTGAATGTAATCAAAGTAGTAAGAAGAATGTGGAAATTATCTGCCCCACAGGTAGGGGGAGGCTGTGGAATGGCAGTATACTTGAGTTTTTAGTGGTGGAAAATAGGCACAGTGAAGGGACGGGTGTTTCATTGTATGACGAAAAATTAAACCTGAAGGCTTTGTAATTGCTCTCCCATTTTTTCCCGTTTTCTCCCATTTATTTAGAAATGGAAAGAGGAATAGTAGAGCAAGTAGGATGCTTGCCTTGCATGTGGCCAACCGAGGAGTCCTCCAGTCCACAACATCTTTGAGTTGCTCATTGGACATTGAGTATCCCCTTCTCATCCCTAGAACATATGATATGGGGGTGTGGCATGGGGGTAGGGGTATCTTCTCCCAGGATCTGTTCATTATGGAGAGATCCTGTGCTTTCCTTTCTTGACCTTGTTGTCATTCTTCCTCACCTGTCAGTTATGTTGAGTAGCACATGTGTTTCAAAGCCCTTGTGTTCCTGGCTATAACTAGCCTGACTGTACACGGAAAGGGCCGGGTGCCCTTTCTGGACTCTGCTCAGTCAATCTGACACCATGCATATCTTTGCCTTTGGATCATTGCCATGTTTTTTTGAATATGGGAAGAAATTGAGTGTTATTTTTTTGGGGGGCCTGGGGATGATCAGCAATTATTCCTGGTGATTCTCATAAGTTGCTTTTGGCAGTGTTCAAGGATCAACCCCTGTCAGCCTCATGCAAGTCAAATGCCTACCTGCTCTACGCTTGTACGCACCAAAAATTGTTTTATTGTGTGTATGTTAAATTGTGACTGTGAGCCCATAGTGAAGTTAATTAGGACCAGAAGAGCAGTGCATCACTGTGGGTGCTCGCCTTACAGATGCCACCTACCTTCGATGTCCAGCATCCCCTATGGTATCCCAAGCATCACTGGGTCTGATTAAAAACAAAACCCAAAAGGATTTTTTGGGGATTGCCAAGCTCCTCCTAGCAACATTTCCCACAGATTTTCCATTTCTGTAGGCTTGTTTTGACTGTGAGAACTATGGAGATGTCCTCCACCTGCTTGGTCATTCTACTGCATTCCATTCAACATTGGACTAATTCTCATTGTGCATATTGTTTGATTTCAGAACTCAAATCACAGGTTCAGGATATGGCATTACAGCAATTTCTTTAGGAAACAGGGGTATTGCATACAAGTGTGCTGTAAGATTCTCTTGTTGAAACTAACTATTATGCCATTGGATTGCTCAGTGGACTGAGCATGCGACTTGAAAGGTGGGGTCCGACTCCATCCCCACAACCACATCTATGGTCTCAGCATCACAGGAGAAATATCGGAGCCTAATGCTGGGACTAGAGGGTCTTTAACCTCAGTGGGTACTGCAATCTGGAAATTTATTTTATTGTATTGTTTTTTAAAGTTTTCATTAAAGTGCCAGTATTTTTAAAGTTTTTAGTAGTTGTATTTAGGCGTACAATAATTGAACACCAATCCCTGCATCAGCTTCCCTCTACCCATGTTCCCGTATTCCCTCCCCACCCCAGTCCCCACTCTACCCCCGCCTGTCATCTGGACAAGCACATGACTAGGTTTCAGTGGTCACAGCTTAGATCTCTTGTTTTCAGTTCTGTTGCATCTATATTTTGGGTAAATGGCTACACCCCTCACTCATGTTACTGGCATAAATGAATCCCTGATCCCTGTAAACTTCTGGTTCTCTTCCGCCCCAAATTTCTTTCCTTCTTTGTTCAGCTTCTCTCTAAACACTGGAATCAGGGATGATTGAAGCAGCCCCTTTACAGTACATTTCCACATCCAGTGTTCGGTATTCCACCAATGAATGAACATCATCCATTTTTTTTTTTTTGTTTTTATGGCTAACTTCAGTCAAGACAGTATCTTCCAGTTCCAACCGTGTTGCTGCATGAAAGAAGTAATTCTAAAACCTAAAATATAGATCACTTGATCCCCCTTTATTCATCGATTTATTCGAGTGGGTGCCAGTAACATCTCCATGCATGCCTGTTGCGTGCTAGTGTAGCCCAATGGCATCTGTTCATTCTAGGAACATGCAGAGCCTCAAACTGATCATTCAGGGTCTTGACGAAGAAGTCTGACCATCTTGTAGGTGGACGTCCACGCGATCTGTTGACATGCTATGGAATCCAGTCAGTAATGGCTCTAGGCCAGTGGTTGTCTGCAAACCTCAGTACGTGTCCAGCCCATCTGATTTTTGATGCCTTGGCAGATGAGACAGTGTCCCTGATTCTTGACCATTGACAGAGATCAGAACTCCAGATTCTATCTCTCATTTGAGTCATGCGTGATATTCCAAGCATAGCTCTTTCGATTCCTCTTTGAGAGACCCGAGTAGCGTTCTCATCCTGTTTTCATAGGGCCCAGGTCTCTGAAGCATATGTTAATGCAGGAATAACAGTGGAATCGAAGAGATGTGCTTGTAGCTGGAGGTTCTTTGTCCTCTTAGTTATTTCTTCAACGCTCTTGAAAGCATTCCAAGCCGCTCTCTTCCTCCTGCATAACTCAGGTACCAGGTCATTCATCATGTTGATTTCTCGAACTAGGTATATATACCTGTTGCCATCGGAGATGGTGGTTCCATTGAGAGTGAATGGAGCATCAGGAACAAGGCTGTTTCTCATAAACATTGTCTTTGTAGGATTCAGCTGTAGTTCAATCTTTCCTCACTCACGGTCGAAGTAAGTCAGCATTTGTGCCTCTTGGCTGATGTCTGGTGTTATTACAACGATGTCATCAGCAAAGTGGAGGTGGTGTAGTTGCCGACCATCTATCTTCACTCCCATTCCTTCCCATTCCAGTCATCGCATGATGTTCTTGAGGGTGGCACTGAAGAGTTTTGGTGAAATGGTATCACCGTGCCGAACCCCTCTCTTGACATGGATGATTACTTCTTTGTAGAATGGTGAGATCCTGGTAGTGAATCCATAATAGAGCTCACAGAGGATCCTGATGTATTGAGTTTGTAAACCCTGATTGGCTAGGGCTTCTATGACCGCTTCCATCTCAACAGAATCAAAGGCCTTCTTTAAATCAATGAACGTTAGACAGAGCGGCATCTTGAACTCCTGGGAAAGCTCAATGCGCTTAGTAATCGTGTGGATATGGTAGATGGTACTGAATCCTTTTCAGAACCCAGCTTTTTCACATGGTTGTTCTTCATCTAGTGTTCTGATAATCCTATTCAGGATGACTCGAGTGAACAGTTTGTAGAAGACAGACAATAGGCAGATTGGGCGATAGTTGCCAATGTTGTGGATGTCTCCCTTCTTGTATAGTAGTACAGTCTTACTGGTTTTCCATTGGGATGGAACCTTGCATTCAGACAGCGTGTGAAGAGCCGAGCCAGTGTATTGATGAGTACTGATGGTAAGTTCTTCAGGTGTTTAGGTCTGATCTTGTCTGGGCCAGGTGCTCTTTGTTTCTTTACCGATGAGATGGCGTGTTGAATTTCGGAAGGGGGAACATTGGGAACGATATGTCAATCGTGCAGAATGTGGTATGTGGGCAAGTGGACGTGGCTATTAAAGAGATCTGAGTAGAATTCATAAATAATCTTCTGATTGCCCTTCTGGAAGATGTGATAGATCCATCAGGATGTTGGAGGGCAGTCATCTTGGTCTTGTAGTTGGTGAAGGACAGGCGGGCATTACAAATGCTTTTCCCAGCTTCTGCCGCATCTACCAGCATCAGTGTTCTCCTGTCTTTGAGATCATCCTTGATGGC